GGATTCCATGGCCAGACCAGACTTATCACGGTCACTCCAGATGCAATCATTCCATCAGTAAATGAACCGATTGAGGCCAGTGGAGGATCGAGAAGACGTAGGAGCGATGTATTCGACGTCAGTAGGTTAACGTAACCTTCCAGGATTAGCCACATTTTGCCTTTTGGACGCAGTTTTTCTTTCAGGCTCGTGGCCGACGTCAGTGTGTCACCTGGGAAACCATGACGGATGAGGAACGGGAGGAAGTTCAAAGAATGAAAAGGTAGGCAATCTGCTTACATAATTGAGATTTTGGGTTTAAGTCTTGAGAGCTAATTGTCAACATTATCATGACGTGGGTGACAACTAAACGATAGATGTCACCACTGAAAGTGGAAGCCTGCAGATTGCTTAATTACATATTCCTCTAATGAAATCTAGGTACTGCGGTTGGAAACGAAAATATGAGTACTAATTTACCTATAAGCGAGGAAAAAGTAGAGGAATCTATAGAAAGCATCCAAACTAAGGCCCTCCTTTCTACAATCAATTCTAAAAATAAGCATTGCACAAGTGTAAGAGAGAGGTGAAGAGAGAGCAAGCGTATCGGCGAGTGACTAGACGACGGCTGTTGAAAAGGCATTAAGCTACACAAGTAATAAATTTACGAGTTCTAGAAGCAGCACCGCGCAACATAGTGAACCTGCTGCCAACAATTGCCGATAAAAGTTTCATTGCAGAAAGGATGAGGCATTCAAGACGGCTCTTTGTGATGCTTTCAAGAAGTTCGGCTTCTGCCCATATGGGGATGCATGTCGCTTTGCACATGGCGACAGTGAACTCCGACTTCCTGCTCAGGTATCTCTACATTTGAATAGCATGTCAGAGCAACAATTGCGCCCCTTGTGCATTATCGCACGCTCAGTTCCTAGACAAGGTTCATACTTCGCGACTCGTGCGACTGCGACCGACGGATTTCACTGCTAATCGTTGGACCGCTATCAATCCTGATGCAGTATTAGTGCGCCGCCAGGCACTCGAATTCGGCCACTTGAACGTTCCAGTCGCGAAGTATGAACGCATTCTCAGAGTGTGTTGACTGTTGCTGATTAATGTTTATCCTTTTATCTGTTTGGCTGTTTATTAAACTTCACTTTGATATGTTTTGTGGGACGTTTTAATCACTACGATAGTGCATTGCATTTTCATTATCGCTTGTTCATC